CGATAATTAAAATGAACATCCTTCCTCGCCTTCTCTACCTCTTTCAAACTCTGCCCATCCACATACCGCTTGCCTTCTTCACATCCTGTAGGAGGCTCTGTTCTCTATTCCTATGGAACCATAAACGCCCGCGCATTGCTTATTCCCAACTGATTCTCCCTAAACTTAATGGTGGTATTAGCCTTCCTGACCTTCACCGTTACTATTTGGCGTGCCAGCTCTGCCGTGTAGTGGATTGGCACGTACATTCTCTGCTTCTAAAGACTGGGTGCAACTAGAACACGCCTTCTCGTCCGCACCCCTGATTTCGATCCCTTGGCTGTCGCTGAAGCATACGCCTCAGGTCCTTCTCACTCACCCTTTGGTAGGCCCTACCCTGAAAGCCTTCCGCTATACCTGCAGATCAGCATCTATTTCTGCGTCTCCGAATTGTCTCACTTCCATCCGACTCAACCCTGACTTCCCCCCTGGAATGCACAAGGACTTTCTATCTGAACATTGGCCGCTTGATCAAATTTTGGCCAAACACTTTCTCCACGAAGGCAAGATGAAATCACTCCACGAACTGCATGAAAGCTTGGGTACCCGCGATTTTCCTCTCTGGGTTTATTTGCAAATAAGGCATTATCTGCTCTCGCATAAACCTTTCCGTGATTGGACCCGCCCTCTTACCCCTTTTGAGGATATTTGCTCGAAAGGAGAACCGCGTAAGCATTTGATTTCAGAAATTTACTCCCTCTTAATTGAGAATAGGGCCTATAACTCCCTGCCCTCCTGTCAGGCCTGGAATAGAGATTTGGATGATAATTTGTCGGATTCCGACTGGGCACGTGTATTCAAATATTCTCATAAATGCTCCCTTAATGTCTCGACGCAGGAAAACGGTTACAAATTGGTGTCGAGGTGGTATCGCACCCCTTCACGAATTTCTCATTTTAATCCTTCTTATCCCAATACCTGTTGGAGGTGTGGGGCTGCGGACGGATCATTTTTACACATCTGGTGGTCCTGTCCGAGCATTCAACCGTTTTGGCAAGAGGTCCATAGGATTGTAGTATCGGTGACGACCGTGCCTCTGGATCTGTGTCCGGCCCAGTTTCTCCTCCATCACTCCTCCCTTCCGGGGGGACAATATCATAGATCTTTGGCCATGCATATGGTCAACGCGGCCAGACTCTGCCTTCCCGTCCTTTGGGGCTCTTCTCGCCCCCCCTCTGTTCGTGATTGGCTTGTCCGTGTGGGTAAAATGGCAGACATGGAGGAACTAATTGTGTCGGCCCTTGACACTCACACTAAATTTTCCCACATTTGGGCCTGCTGGATCTATTTCACAACTACTCCTACATACAGGTCTCTTATGGACCATCAGGTCTGACTTGGTCCGGCTTTCCTGCTGATGTTACTTCTTTACAGTAGTTTTTGTGGTAGGCACTGAGACTCTCTTCGACAATGTATCCCTTCCCACGCGACTCTGGCGTTAGCTTAACTCCTATCCCCATACATGATTAACCCCAGATATTGCTGTCATTACTCACCCCATATGTTCCCCCCCACTATTATTATTATTATTTTTTTTTTTTTTTCCTTTCCACCCCCATCCCCCCCTCTCTGCTTCTATCATTTTTCTCTCTACCTCCCTTTCTCTCTTTTCTCCTTTCTCTTTTCTTCTCGCCTCTCGCTTTGCTATGCTACCTGGAACACTAGACATGCCATTCTTTCACTCTCCCCACTTCCATCAACGGCTCCTACCGCAACGTATGCCGGTTTTGTAACTCTCCCCATGCCATAAGCTTTTGACCGAATCCTACGTTCAGGTGCCATGACCACTCTTCCTATTGCTACAGCCCTGCATGGCGAAGCACGAGCGCAGGGAATATGATGCAATTACACCCCATACTATACTATATTGGCTCCAGTTTGTTGCAAGCATAACCTTATTGTAGTCGGGTTTTGTATCATTGCATTGTCTGTGTTTTCTTGTTTGAGTTACTGCTGTGTCGCTGTAGGTTGTGCCTGCTGTTTCCCTTAGGCACACTGTACATGTCTTCTGTACCATTATGTTCTTTATTAATAAAGGCTTTCTTTTTGGAGAATCCTTTACTGGCAATGACTGCCTGAAGTCTGGAACCCATGGACATTACCAAAGACTGAGTTTCCTCCTTTCTTATGCTTTTACCAGGCTCTAACTGCAGCAGTCTTCAGTTGTTCTTTGTTGGTCTTTCTGCCTTAAGTTTTGCCTTCAGCAAGTGAAATGTATGCTCAATTGGGTTGAGATCAGGTGATTGATTCAGCGATTGCAGAATATTCAACTTCTTTTCCTTCAAAAGCTCCTGGGTTGTTTTTGCAGTGTGTTTTGGATCATTGTCCATGTGTACTGTGAAGCGTCAAATCAACTTTACTGCATTTGGCTGAATCTGGGCTGACAGTATCTTTTTAAACACTGCAGAATTCATCTGGCAACTTCTGTCTTCTGTCACATCATCAATAAACCCATGGCATACCCATGCCATCACACTGCCTCCACCATGTTTTACAGATGACATTGTGTGCTTTGGGTCATGAGCTGTTCCAAGCTTTCTCCAATCTTTTTTTTTTTTTTTCTTCCTGTCATTCTGGTACAGATTAATCATTGTTTCATCTGTCCAAAGAATGCTTTTCCAGAACTGGTCTGGCTTTTTTAGATTTTTTTTTGGCAAAGTCTAATCTGGCTTTTCTATGCTTCAGGCTTTTGAATGGTTTGCACCTTGTATTTGCTCTCTTGAAGTCTTCTCTTGATTGTAGACTTTGACAATGATACGCCCACCTCCTGGAGATTGTCCTTCATTTGGCTGGATGTTGTGAATGGGTTTTTCTTTACCATAGAGAGGATCCTGCGATCATCCCCCACTGTTGTCTTCCATGGACGTCCATGCCTTTTTTATGTTGCTGAGCTCACCAGTGCGTTCTTTCCTCAGAATGTACCAAACTGTTGATTTGGCCACTCCTAATGTTGCTGCTATGGATTTGTTTCATTTTTGAAGCCTAATGGCCTGTTTCACTTGCATGGACAGCTCCTTTTGAACGCATGATGTAGGTTCACAGCAATAAATTCTAAATGCAAATACCACACTTAGAATCAACTCCAAACCTTTCACCTGCTTAATTGATGAAGAAATAACGGAGTAGCCCACACCTGGCCATGAAACAGCTTTTGATTCAATTGTCCAATTACTTTTGGTCCCTTTGAAAAAGGGGGGATGGCTTCTCTTAAGATCTGTAATTCCTAAAACCATCCTCCAATTTGGATGTACATACCCTCAAATTAAACCTGAGTGTGCCCATATCCATTATATAACTGTAGCTTGAATATGTTTTGGTAAATACCTGAAAAACTAACATTGTACCTGTGTCCAAATATATATGGATCTAACTGTAAATGCACATCTTTTTGCAGGTAAAAGTGGGTGCCATGCAGGACTGCTGCAGATGTGTCAGTGTGCTGGTAGCTCGTAAGGGCAGGCAAATACACACTGACAGGAGGAGACTATGAACTACCACATCACTCAACAGTGCCATGGTAGTTCATTAAGAACTGCAAAATGACAGCCAGATAGGCTGTCAGTACTTGTAGTTTTCCATTCATAGAATTCTGTGACTGATGCGGGTGGGCGGAGCCGTGTTTTTTTAAATTTTTTTTATTTTTTATGGTGACAGCTAGCAGGGGGAGAATATTTCCTTCAAGCTGTCAGTAGATGGAGTGGGCAGCAGCTCCGGAAGTGGGAACATGCTGCGTGTTCCACCGAAAAAATGGGTGGAACCTGTAGCATGTTCTCACGGGTGAAGTTACGTAGTCTGACTGAAAAAAGACAAAGTCCATCCAGTTCAACCATAAAAAAAAAAAAAAAAAAAAGGTAATAATCCTATACCCACAGTTGATCCAGAGGAAGGCAATTTATCCTTTAACAAAAAAAAAAAAACTATATACTTAGTCTATTGACATTTCCTCCTAGGGAATGAGCACAGAGGTACAATAGTACCCCCTTCCCAAAAAAAAAGTACACATACAGGATTTTAAAATTTTACGTTTTTATTAATGTCCCCAGAAGTAAATCCAGCATCAGTCACAGCATTCAGCAAGGTAATCTGTGCTAATTTACTAAAACTGAACTCAGAATCTGGTGCAGCTGTACATGGTATCCAATCAGCTTCTAAGGACAGCTTATTCAATTAAGCTTTGGCAATGAAACCTGGAAGCTGATTTTTTTGCAGAGTTACATCAGATTTTTCACTTTCCAGTTTCAGTAAATAAACACATTGGTGTCCAGCGAGATTGTTCATCTCAGTCATGACCTACCACCAACCAAGGTGTACATACCACACTACTGCTGCTAAATGGGAGATTCCCAGCTGCCTTAATTAAACGTTTACCTCCAGGAATCCCAATTTACGTCCTTGACTAAATTTGGTCATTGTTGTCAACTGAGGTTCCCATCGGCATTACTGCAACTGAAATCAAACATGGACTAGCAACTTTAATTGGAGATTAAAAAAAAGGTTGTGAAAGTCAGCTAATTTGTAAGCAGATATAAAGAGAGGCAAGCTTCCCATTCAGTTGACAACAGAAAATTTTTTTAGGTGTTTGCAACCTTTTATATTTAATACTAAAACCACCTTCAGTTGCAGCCTAGTGCTGACTGGTTAGGTTTCCCTGCTGAGACCTCATCTGAGGTTGTTTATTTCAAGAACCAGTACTAACATTGCTTTTGAGTTTAGATCTGCTTTTTCTTTTGGTTCAGTTTTTAGCTTGGACCTCGAAAGTGCTTGACATGGTTCTGAACCAGGTGACCCTAGCCAGGAAGTGAAGGTTGAAACCCCATTTAAACATTTGGTTGCCAACTCTGATGTTGCATTACTCCATCCTGACCCTTGTTGTGATACAGTATATAGGGCAATGGTTACATCAGGTAATTCAGAAACTGTGACTATACTATGTGTGTAAAATATATTTATTTTTTTAATAGGTAATTCTCCACCTGCATTGGTTCCCAAAAAAGGAATCTACATGAACCAGGATCTGAATAGACTATCTGAATTCTTCCAGGTTCCTCTGAAACATCCAAGTGATTTCTTTCAAGTAGTTCTTAAAAAAGGTTAGTCCATTGCTGACTTTAGTCTGTGCTTTTTCTGACAAATAACTGTAAGAGATCAATGCACCTTTTTAAGGTATTGCAATTAGTGCAATTTTTGTTTCCATACAAGTGACATATTACCTTTTGGAACCTGACTTTTTTTTTTTTTATATTGAGTTCCTTCCAGGACCTCAAAATCACACAGCTACGTGGGCTTTCATAATGTGTCAAAAAGGCTTGGGAGTCCCTAGCAAAAAGTCCATACGAAAAATAAAACACAAAGGATAGTTTAGGACTCTAATTCAGATCTGTATAGAACTGGGTTCCTATGAATAACCGAGTAAACCTAGACCAATGTACTATACAAATCAATCTTTATTGTACACATCATAAGCACAAATATAAAATCATACATAATTCCCATTCTTTTTTTTTTTTTTTTTTCATCTATGTACAATATAGTAGTATAAAGGCAGATGTCGGGTAATATCTGCTACAAACAGAAGCATACTGTATAAAGTCCCATGATGGATCTGTATGGAACATAAAAAATGGCATTTGGCTCTGTACGTGAACCAATGGTTGAGAAGGCATCTGAATCCATAACTGACAAGGTGTGCTTATATGCAATAGTCTTTTCCAAAGGGATAGTCTATATACTTTTTATACACTTTCAAAGAATGTCCTATATGGTGCAAAAGCCCTATCCAAAAGAGAGCCATATATACTACACATCCAGGTGTATGTTCCAACTTCAAATCACCACAATATAAATTTCCTATGCAGGAAATTGAAGGTTGTAGGACTGTCCTATGGACTTTACTGAAGATACGTACAATGGCTCCCGCTGCTTTCTCTGCTAATGAGTGTGAGACCCAGGACAGCTGAGGCTCCCAAACACATTGATGGATCAAGAGGGTGCTTAGGTGAGTATTGGGGAGCTGTGAAGGGAGCAACACACGGAAGGTTTTCTTTTTCTGTTTTTTTTTTGCTTTTTTACCTTCATGCATAGAAGAACAGTGCAGAACCTTCAGCCTTTACAACCACTTAAACTCCATGCAAGAAAAGTAGCTTCTGGCAGCAATATATTCTGAATCACAGACTTGGAATAAGCATGCATATTAGAGGTCAAGGTAAAATCGTAACTCCTATTCTGCATACTTGTTCAAGTCAGGACCTAATATGACAGTCAGGCCGCTTGAATTTTGAAAAGGTTATCTGTACAGCCTCCATATTTTTCAAGCATAGGTTAAATTTTATGTAACTGGAGATTTTATTGAAGGCCCACAATACATAAAATTTAAACATTTTGTGAAAGATTTACCTGTATCATCTTATTATTTATGGGTGTAGAGTTGGAATAAAACAAATGATGCAAGTTGGGTATTGACCTATAACAACTGTAGAAGCTATTCAGTGGCATCAGCCACTTTTGTGCACACATTCCCATTACAGACAATGCATTCTGTTCCATCAGTAGACACCTCTGGACACTGATGATTGCAAATGTTTTCAGCTGATAACTGGCCTAGAACCTTAGGAATTGGGAGCTAAAGAAATCCTATATAAAAAACAGTGCACATAACAGGACAATATTGTTATTTGTTGTTAAATAAAACAAAAGCTAAACATAACTGAGTAGAATTGCATAGTTCTCCTATACACTACAATTTAGGGTGGAACATGATTGAGCTATGGAGAACTGACAGATCCAGCTCTCTCTCACTCATACCAAACTGGTGAATTAATTCCCAGATTGCCAATAATAATAACATGCAGTCTTCCTACAAGGTCAGTCCTTTTAAAGATCATAAATGCTCTGGGCTCTCAGCTGCGGTATAGTAACATGCACTCAGCACAGGTCTGGCCAACCAAGCTGGCATATTGTTTAACAGTAGTCTCATCATTTGGCCCCTTGCGTTTTCTCTTGTATACGCTATAAGGCATTGCTGTATGTTTGTGGAGGACTCGAACCCGGCCCAGTTCTGTCAAGTGATCATTGTCCCATGTGAAATGGAAAAAGGGCAAGGGGGTGATTCCCAACAACCTGCTAATGAATTGCATGCAGTTCTAGGCCATCTGATGTATACCACAATACTTAAATTGCATATTTCTCAGACTGGTATGAAAGATTAGTTTCCAAGGGCAGATGCATTGACTTCAGTAGGGCTGGTAGGACCAGTCCAAGCACACCTTTTGTAGCACAGATGGGGCCAGTTACCCAATTTTTACATAGACAAAATAGTCTCCTGCTTTGCTATTTTTTTTGGGTGGAATATTCCTGGGCTTCTTTTCCAGCTGATACACAACATCAGTGCCAGTTGACCACTTCTCCTCCAAACAGCAATAAATGTGAATTTAGCAAACATTCACTGGTGGTGAATTGTTTTGTTTATTAAAACTCATTTACCTTCAATGAATGTTTGAATGTCACATTCACTGCTTTATATATGTCTCAAGTGATAAGTGTTTAAAATCACCTGTAAAAAACGCCCCCTCCCCTCAACCACTGTAAGGGTAGGGGCTGTATAGTGAGGATTGTTGCTTGGTACTGAAGGCAAGTATAACACCTAGTGGGACGCATTAGAGGGGTTGGCGAAAGTAATTTCAATAAAAGTAAAATACAAGTACAGTTGTCTTTCTGTGTGCTTATTACATGGATGCTGTCATTGGTTAGTCCAGTAGATGGCAACAAACTCAAACTGAATAGTATAACACTTGCAAAGAAAGGGGCAAGCACCATTGTTACCAAATACAAAACGCACGTTTACCATTTTTCCTATCCCCGGAGATGGGTTTTAAACATAACTGTATTAATTTCTTCAGGTTTTTTTTTTTTTCCCATGTGTTGCAATCTATTAATTTTGACCAATAATACTCTTCTTGCCCTAGTGTAGCAATGCTCACTCATTATACTGTATCTGTGGAAGAGCAGTACAGCCATCTTAGACTGTCCTTGAAATATTATTTAATGCAATTCCGTCCATTGTTTTGCTTGTTTGGCACGTCTGCTCCAACTGGAACTTCCACAGAGCTGAGGATTGTCCCTTTAACATTAACATGGGCGATTGGCCCATGTTAATACTGGGCCAATCGTCCAGCACTTTTGCATTCTAGAAGGGTAAATGAGTCACATGCTTCTCCATACTAAGTACCTGTTGGTTTTTCTTACAGGAAGTCTCTCAGCCATGCGCTTTGTCACAGCTATTCAGATGTCGCATCCTGAATTTTTAGAACCAGTTTCAAGGGAGCTTTGGATTCGAATCTGGTCTGAAGTCAGTTCTGCTTCATATGCCTATTATTTTTTTCTGTAATTGATGTATATGGTGTCAGTGCTTATATTTTGTTATTGATTTTATAGGATAAAGATATTACTGAACCAGAGAGCATGCTGGAGGTAAGGACTATCTTATTATATGTATTCTTTATTAGTAATAGTACTATTATTACTCTCCTGTTATAATGTGCTGTGATTATCTGTATAAACAGCACATTCCAATGTCCAAGTTCTGTTTGTGGGGTGATTTTTTATGCAGTGACCACTGTGTCCCTGTTGTGCTTCAGTATTTGTCATACTGTCACATATATTCCTGTTTAAAAAAAAAATATATAAGGAGCTGTTTTTGTGCAGGCATACAACAACATTGTCGCTAGTAGTGTGTGTATGTGTGTGTGTGTAAACAGCCATAGATTTATGACCACTCACCTAGTATTGAGTAGGTCATCCTTTCCCACCAAAACAGCCCTGACTTATCGAGCCATGGACTCTGCTAGACCTCTGAAGGTATGCTGTGGTATCTGGCATCATGCTATCAGTAACAGATCCTTTAAGGCCCTGTAAGTTGCAAGATGAAGAGCCTCCATGGATTTCACAAATTTTTCCAGCACATCCTACAGATGTTTGTTTGAGATTGAGTCCTGAAGAATTTAGAGGCCAAGTCAACATGTCAATCTAGCATTCCTCAAAGCATTCTTGAACCATTTTTGCAGTGCGGCAGTGCACATTATCCCTCTGAAAGAGGCCACTGCCATCACGGAATACTGGCTCCATGAAAGGGTGTACTTTGTCATCAACAATATTTAGGTAGGTGGTGTGTGATAAGTAACATTCACATGAATAGCAGATCAAGGTTTTCCATTAGAACCATTCGAGCACTCGGGCACTGCCCGAGGGCCCCGGGTCAGTAGGGGGCCCCATGAGATGTCCCTGGTACCCTTCATTGGCTTTTTCATAGGCTTTTGTGGGTGTGGGCGAGGACACAGGGGCCCCATGATCCCCTGTTGCCCGGGGGCCCCATGAGTTGTCAGTCCACCCCTGATTAGAACATTGCCCAAACCATTACACTGCCTCTGCCAGTTTGTCTTCTTGCCATACTGCATCCTGGGGCCATCTCTTCCCAGGTAAGTGACGTACACGCACATGGATATCTACATGATGTAAAAGAAAACATGATTCATCAGACAATGCCACCTGCTTCCATTGCTCTGTGGTCAGGTTGTGATGCTCATTGTCCATTGCAGGCACTTTGGCTGTGAACACAGGTCAGCATGGGCATTCTGACCAGTCTACAGCTCCTCAGCCCCATACACAACAAACTGCAATTTCCTTTTTTTTTTCCCCAACACATCAACTTCAGGAGTTATTTATTAAAACTGTAAAGTGTAAAATCTGGTGCAATTCTGTATTGAAACCAATCGGTTTCCAGGTTTTATTTTCAAAGCCGAATTGAACAAGCTGAAGTTAGACTATGGCTACCATGTACAGCTGTACCAGATTCTCAGTGCACCAGTTTTAGTAAATCTACCTCAGTGTGTTTACTTGCTGCTTGATATATCCAGCTGACTTTCAGATTGCATAACAAGATAACCATAATGTTCACATAACCTGCCAGTGGTCATAATGTTATGGCTGATCCATGTATGTATGAGATCTGGGAAAACCAAAGTGTTAAAGTGTAAATAAAATATAACCTTTTAATCACAATCTATTAAATTATACATAATTTAAAAGGCTTTAGTCCAGTCTGTAGGCAGGAAGAAGCACAATGCTATTTCATCATTTCAAAAAGACCCCCAAATCCAGATGGCATAGGAAATGTCAAGTGTGAGCAATAAGCTCCTGTTTTTTTTTTTTTTTTTACAAAAATGCAAAATGTCAGTTCACATCAAAGTAGTGCATTGGTGTGAAATGAAACAATAGGAAATGTGGCTATTTGCCTTATCCTTGCATATGGTCTGTTGGGCAAGGCAGCCCTATGTCTGCTGGTGTGAACACGCTTTAGAGCATGATCAATTATGTATGAGTGAAAAAAAAATTAGATCTGCCCACTGATTACCTTTTTAACTAAACAAGGTTTTGGAATTCTTTAATACACCCTGATAAGATTTACATTAGGCTGCCCCCATCTTTCAAATCTATAAAACCTAAAGAGGAGTAGTAGTATAGGGAGTAAGTCTTACTCACAAATTTGTGTGCCTTCATTTTTTTCATTTCCCAAGCCTGCAAACAGTTTTAGATTTGATTTATTAGAATGGCACACTTATCTCTTAGTAGGAGTTTTGGAGATTGAGTGTGTGCTCTGGTAGCAACTTATTAGGAAAAATATATTTTAATAATTCAAAATCTTAAGTTCTATAAATGTTTCCTTTTTCTTCCTTTAGTATATTTTAAAGTGATAATATTTTAAAGGCAATTTAAAAAAAAAAAATGTCATACCTACCTGCCCTGTGCAATAGCTTTGCACAGAGCAGCCCCATCCTCCTCTTCTTGGGTCCCCACTGGCGCTCTTGGCCCCTCCCTGCTTCCAAGTGCCCCCAGAGCAAGTAGCTTGTTATGGGGGACATCCAAGCAGGCTTGATCTTGAGCCGTTGTTCTGTGTCCATTCACACACAGAGCCTCTCCCCTCATTGGCTCACTGGCTGTAATTGACAGCCAATAAGGAGAGAGAGAGGTCCTGGAGAGCCAAGGCTCTCGTGCACATCACTGGATCATGATGGGGCTCAGGTAAATATTAGGGGGCTGCTGCACACAGGTTTTAATGCATGAAGGTAAAAAAACCTTGAGCCTTTACTAGCACTTTTAGAGTCATTTGTAAACTTTAGTTTAATTTATGTAATAATCTGCTTCCTCTGATTTTAAAGTACATTGGAAAATTGTCTCAAGCTCAATGTGAAAACAATTAAGGACCATAGCAGTTAAGGGGTTCATGCTGTAAGCCACAGCATTTTCTTACAGGGCATGCTTGTACTTCTCATAGTGTTTTGGTTACAATTTTTATTTTTCCATTATTTTGTGTTTCCCTTTTAGGCTGCTAAAAAAGCAGGCATGTCGGAGGACAATGCTAAAAAGGTTTTGGCCACCATATCTTCACCAGAGGTTAAGAACAAACTCAAGGAGACTACTGATATTGCTTTAAAGTATGGGGTAAGCTTCAGTAATGCTTGTCAGATTTTGCTTGCAAGGAAATGGAGACAAACGTTTTCGCAAGAACACTAGCAGATTGCTTTCATTCCTTTCCCTAATTTTTGTTTTCCTTGCAGGTGTTTGGTATGCCTTCTATTGTGGCCCACATAAATGGAAAGCCAGAGATGTATTTTGGATCTGATCGCTTTGAACTTTTAGCACACAAGCTAGGTGGGTTTCCAAACATAATTTATTAAAACCACATATGAAAATGCTTTGTATCAGCACAGATACCAGTATCTTTGCAACTGTAATGAGTACTCGTAGCTCGTTCAGATACCTGAAACTGATACCTTTTTATGGTTGCAACTTGAGCCCATACAAAATGAATGGGCTCAAATCGCACTGTAAAGAATCACTTGTGATTTGGACAGAAATGCATTGTGATTTCTGTCTGACTTGTATGCCGTTTCCCTGTGGGTGCGGTGTAATTTGAGTCATTCATTTTGTAATCGCACCGTGTTGTGATTCGGACAGAAATCTCAACACATTCCTGTTCAAATCACATGTGGTTCTTTGCAGTGCAATTTGAGCCAATTCATTTTGCATTGCTTCAAATGGCACTGCAAAGATTTCTGTATCGGCAAGTACTTGAGCACAAGTATCGGTACTTACTGATGGGGAAAAAAAAAAATGTGCATCTTTGCAACTCTACTACATGTTATTAAAGTGGAACCAAACACATTTTTTCCAACAGGCAGTCTCTTTGTTGCTGAAGATGTGTTTTTGTGTAATAGTGTAGATTTTTCATTGAAAGCTACAAGGCGACAGCCGCTAAGGCTGTCAGAACTTGCAGTTCATTAATTCACAGAAGTCCGTGAATGATGCTGCTGTGTGGACAGAGCCCTGCACGGCCGCACATTTTTAAAATTTGACAGGTAAAGAAGTCTCCCAGTAATATCTGTCGGAGGGAGGGAGGGCGGTGGCCCAAAGGTGAACTTGTCCTTTAAGCGGATTTTGCTGTTAAGCAGAAGAGGTAAAGTGGAGCAGTTCAGTATTGTGCAGTCAAGAAAGGGCCAAAAGTTGGCGGTAGCAATAACCCTGGTGTGCTTTTGATATTTACAAAAAAAAAAAAACCCTGTTATTCTTACCTGCTCTGTGCAAGGGTGTTTTTTTTTTTTTTGTTTTTTTAATAGAGAAGCCCCAATCCTCCTCTTGGGTCCCCTGCCAATGCTCTGGGCTCCTTACCAATGCCAAGTGCCACCATAGGAAGCTGGTTCCTCTGAGGGCACATGTGCATGCTCTCTCCAGAGCCCCACTCCCTCCTCACTAGCTGTGATTGACAGCAGCGGGAGCCAATGAGGAGGTGCAGGGGGCTGCGAGGAAAGCTGACTGTATGAAGGTAAAAAATATTCAGGCTTTAAAACTACTTCAACTTTGTCCTGCTAACAATGTTTTACCAGACAGAAAGTAAGAGGAACTCTCCAGCAGCAACAGACAGAAAAAAAACACGCTTTTCTTATTGTACATTCCAGGACATAGGATATCTTCATCTCTATTACGATAAGATTACACTGCCACTTTCATAGATGGGAAATTTCTTTGTAAACATAACCCCTCCCCATTAGGCAAAGCTTCAGTGGGGTTTTTTTTTTGTTTGTGTTTTTTTTACCCCCCACTGTCTTATGTCTTTCTAATTCAGAAGGTTATTGTTCTGGTTGGCATTACTTTGGCTTGGAGAGTGTCAGAATTGGTTGCTCTTTCCTGTAGGGAACTGTTCCTGGTGCTCCACTACTACAAAGTGGTTCTCCAGTCTCGGCCATCCTTTTTTACCTAACATGGTTGCAGTGTTGCTCTTCCCTCATTCAGTGCTTTGGGACATCCCTGTCGTAGTGGAGTTGAAAATACCCTGTGTCCTGGAATATATGGTAAGAGTGAGATTTTTGGTTTACCTGTAAAATCATTTTCTTGAATTACATCACAGGACACGGAGATCACACTCATCTGCCTTCATGATTTATGGCTTGCTACAAAAACTGTTTTTTGGTTTTGTTTTTTTTTTGTTTTTTTGGCAGTATCAAGTCTCCTGAAGTTGGCAGCATAACCCTATTGTTATGGAGATTGACCCTGTGTCCTGTGATGTATTCCAAAGAAAGGATTGTACACATATATCAATATTCCCCCTTTTTTATTAGTAAGCTAGAAGATGGCTAGACCCCAGGTTGAATGTATATTTCTGTGTTTGGTCCCTGTTGCAGATTTTTCCTTGCTTCCTGTCTATTGAAACCATTGTCATCGGGACAGGAGATGAGGGTACATCCCTTTTTAATGGAGCCCTGGATAACTGTGAATATCAGACAGGAGTTCTAATCCTTCTCCTTTCTTTTCAGTGCTAGAGAATTATTTTTGCTTGATGTACACTTTACTAACAGTAAAAGCACTTTATAGTACCTGCACCAGTCCGTAAGGGCTTGTTTTAGAGTATTTTTCAAAGATCATTCCAAACTACTTGGTCAGCTTCCAATATAGCTAACGGTATTTGCTGTATGCTTGCTTAAAATGTCACTGAACTATCCAACTAGAGGAAACCTCCCAATGCTGCAAAATGTTGTAAAGCACATCTTTGTGTTGCAAATGAGAAAAGATACAGTTGTTTGGGTCTGTTGTGTGCTTCCAGTTGTGGTGTGTAGGTGTGAATATAGATGGATATAATTTATTTTTTTTTCTTTCCTGTTATTTCTTGAATAAGAGCAGTGTGTGTGCATTCTAGTTTAGTTTGAGTAGAGCAGCACATGTGACTGCAACACCCATGAATCATTGTACTAGTGTACACAGTTCAAAGGAAACAGCTGGCACCTCCGTGAAGAGTTGTTAGAGTATCCTTTTAGTGTTGAGGAACCGTAAAAAAGAGAGCCACATGAGGAGCCTTTGTGTTCACCCATTCGGGACGTAGTCATATCTACCTTACAGACAACAAACACATTACATAATCTCCCATGTGGGAAAAGGAAATGGACAGCCGACCTGTGCTGATCATATAGCCTGATATATTTGCATTTTTATGCATCACATCGAGCTGCAAACAAATCTTCCACCAGATGATTCCTCTGTACTTCACAGAGCACTCTTAATTTTGTAATCACAGGGAGCGCATCTGTTAGTAAAGATCATTTATTTGCACTATCTTCATCCAAATTAACTATTTAAGTGACAGTTACCAGTTCTTAGATGAGATGGCCGCATTAGTTTCCTTTCTAAGGCTTTCTTTCCTTTACTTTTCACCCGGTGATCTAGCCAGTAAGTTTCCCCCCCAAGAGAATAAGCTGTACTGCAGATATAGCAATTAGAGGGTTTAGACAAGCCATTTAACATTGGTGTGGTGCACTGATCAGCTTTTATTCATGTAAAACCTTTATCTCGAAAGGAACAAAACTGAAACTGCTTAACAAACTGAAGCCAAACTCCGGCTCACATTTTTAGTGTACCTAAATTTGCTAGTCCATCTAGCTCTCCCCTCAAACCCCCCTCAGTTTAGCCTTAATATTGTTGCTGTCCAAAGGTGTTTCTGTTGCTCCTTTCATCCAGAGTGTAGGCACTCTGATACAGGAGGTATGTTACTGGCTGGATAACCAGGTGAAAACAGAGGGAAGAAAGCTTAAAAACGAAAACTAATGCAGTCACTACATCCAAATGATTGATTGATAAGCTACAATATATTTTTTTTGTTCAGTAAGACTTTATTGTAAGCAAATGAGGGTTTCATGTTATCCAGCATGTTCTATTTCTTTGTTTTTAGGTGAAAAGTGGTATGGACCAGTCCCTCAGAAATCCCATTTGTGATCTCTAGAATGGGAGAATACCAAAATCTAAAAGAGCTTGATGTGTTACCAATGTAGCATAGAGTGCATCAATATTTTGTAAAATTGTAGCTAAATTTCTAATGCTGTAAAAAATTGTATACAAGTAAACCTAATTGCCATTAATAAAAGGAAATGCCTCTTTAATACAAACATGTTTGTGAATCTTGAACTGCCAAGCCAAAAGTGCCATTATGTTTGTGTTACTTTGTGTGTTTTTTAAATAAAATACACAGCAAATGACCGTGGTGGGTTTGTTTTTTGTTTTTTTTTTGTCGTGAAATAAAATAGATATCACTGAATGTATATAATAAAAAAGCACACAGCTTCAGCAGCCTCCTGCTACATTGCAGACACGCCGAATGTCGTTCTTCAGAGCCCATTTATGATCCATTAAAATACAAGTCAAAGAAAGGACTGCACCATGATACCCTCACGGACTTCAGAAAGTGTATTCAAACAGTGCAACATGCTCCCACCCCTCCGTGTTTCACCATTTCAGGCTTAATCATAGAAAACTATGAATTCTGTGAAGACTGGGGCAATCTCTATCATTAGGCCCATAAGGTTGAAACATGTTAGAGAGGGGTGGATTCATGTTGCACTGTTTGTATGGGGGAATAAACTTCTTAGAGCCCAGTGACATGATACACATACAGCCCTCCTTTATAGATACCACTGAATGTTTGATTACTTGCTGTTGGGTTTGCTTGCGTGTTTATACACTTCTCAAATAAATTAATGGAACACTGTTTAATCAGAGTATAGCATCAAGTCAATTAAACACCTGGGATATTGAACTGGTCAGTTAATTAGCAGCTAATCAGTTTCAGCTATTTTAGTGTTAATGAAATTAACAGGTGCACTAGATGGGCAACAATGAGACGAACCCCAAAACAGGAATGGTTTTACAGGTGGAGGCCACTGACCCCCCCCCCCCTTACTCATCTTTTCCGACAGTTGTTCACTAGTTTTGCATTTGGCTTGGGTCAGTGTCACTACTGGTAGCATGAGGCGATACCTGGACCCTACAGAGGTTGTACAGGCAGTCCAACTCCTCCAGTATGGCACATCAATATGCGCCATTGCCAGAAGGTTTGCGGCGTCTCCCAGCACAGTCGCAAAGCATGGTGGAGATTCCGGGAGACATGCAGTTACTCTAGGAGAGCTGGACAGGGCCGTAGAAGGTCCTTAACCCATCAGCAGGACCAGTGTCTGCTCCTTTCTGCAAGGAGGAACAGGATGAGCACTGCCAGAGTCCTAAAAAATTACCTCCAGCAGGCCACTGGTGTGAATGTCTCTGACCAAGCAATCAGAAACAGACTACATGAGGGTGGCCTCAGGGCCCGATGTCCTCTGGTGGGCCCTGTGCTCATTGCCTAGCACCATAGAGCTCGATT